GCTTAAGGACACGCGGACCGGCCGGCGGACTGGTTTTCTCCGAAGGATGCTTTTCATCGTCGGTCCAGCCCGACGAGGCTCCCCGAGAGCCGCAAGGATGAGAGAGGAAGGAGAGACGGAGAAACGCGGCTTTGATTTTTTACCTTCGCGGCGACCTTGCCAGCCGAGCAAGGATCCCCGCGTTTATTGACCCCGGCAAGCATTCCCGGCTTTAAGCCTGTTGTGCATCCCGAGCGCGGCCGCTGCCTCCTCACCCCGTCCTGTCGGTTATCTCTGCCTTCAGCTGACGCTTTCGCGAGGTAAACATCCTCCAGAAACGAGCGCGGCCTCCCCCTCCGGTTCGTCGAAGCCGTTCCATCCCCGACGCCCGTCGCAATTTCCTCCGATCCTCCTTTTGTACTATGCCGCGTAATCGTTTCTGCAAATCGAACTGTTTTACGCCACGCTCCGGCGCACCTGTTATTATCACAGCCGTTCCCGGCCGGACAATTAAAACGATAATGGAGTATCGGGCTCGCGATCGTTCCAAAAACTTTTATCGTTCCACCGGCGTTCCCGCTGGACGTCGTTAACGTCGGCCCCGCGCCGGCGTAATAGCATGCAATCCCATTGCGCCGCGACGTCGAACAGTTCGCGTTACTGACTTACATACAAGAAGGTGCAAATGACTCGCGTCAAGGACCGTTCTTGCGCGTGCTTTCGTAATTAACGCCGATTCGGCTTCGTTAGCGGATATTATACGCCGTTGAGTAACACGGCACGCCTTTCGAAAGGTGGAACGCTCAGCGGTGTCGTCGACACCGCGTCGATTCGACGGTCCCGCCGATCCTCGCGGCGCCTCTCGAGGCTCCTTCGTCCCGGTGATCGGCGGTCGGCCGTAAAAACCCGTGAAAGCGGGTACAAGCTGTTTCCCCGGCGATGTGCACTTTCGAAAATTTCGTTTCGGACGGATACCTACCGTCGCCTCGTCGCCGGCGGCGCATATTTTTCGTGCGAAAATCGCCGAGTGTGACGTGCGAAAGCGACCGAGTTTCGCTAAGCACGACCGGGCATCGGATAGTTTCCTGTAGCCGAGGAAAGCCTGGTTGCCCGGTTTCTTTCTCGACCGAGACTTTTCCGTGATCGGCGCCGATTTCCGAGGCGACCGGCGGCGGCCAACGTTCCGTCATTTTTATTGCTAATCGATCGGAACGGTACCCGATCGCGACGGTATAATTGGTTCGCTATCGATCGGTTTCGCGGAACGCGTGCGCCTTTAATATGGTTTAAACATTCTTATCGAATTCGATACACACCGAAGCTTTTGTTCTTAGCAGCATTTTCCATTGTTTACGAATCTTAAATTCAACGCGGGTACCATTTTAATGATGATATTAATTGGTTACCGTGCTTCTAACGCAGCGATCCTTTATTCGCTGCGTGAGTCATTCGATTATTGTACCCGGCTCTCAGTTACAAACTCTCGAACTCTCATTGTGCAGAAATCATGTGACCATGCGATTGCGTCAAGGTCGGCCGCACCAAATACGGAGCCGATCGCATATCGATTCGATCGACGGCAGGCGACCGTGTCGTTGACGTACAGCGCGAGCTTGACGTCTGCTGACAATTTAATTTAATCCAAGGGGATCTGTTTCTTCCATGCAAACGAGTAATGCTTGTTGTGTAACTTAAATCCTGTCGACCGATTTCCTGAATAAAACGTGCGCACTTGTAATAGTTCGAAAGATGGAATAATTTTCAAACAATACTCCGTAAAGCGTGTTCAATATTATCTACGAAGAACTCGACTGAACTGACCGTTCAGTACGTACCATTTCTACTGACTGCAGAACGCGTGCGTAGCAGATAAATTCCCCTTTGTCTTAACACAATCGTGCCTGCACATTAACATGTCCGCAGTCCGATGACTCATGCGTGAGACGCGATACTATTTATTAAAAAGTTCATAACAGGTAGTCGAAGATATTGAATCCTATAAATATAATTACCCTAAGATCTATATTGAATTTCATACGACAATATTATATCATATATTGCTAAGAAAACTGCTTATTATTCCCAATAAATCATTGCATTTGATATTATATAATATCGTTTATCGCACACACGGAAGAGAGCGCTCCTTCATAGGGCGCGCGATCGACAACCGAAACTGAAATTCCATTATGACTCACGTGAAATTCATAAAAACTGTGGCGTCGAGCTGCCAGCCGAGCCACGAGTTAAAAAGCTCAATTGTCATTTGATTTAAAGAATCTGTCGAACGGGTGATTAATAATCACGGGAGATGCTCGAACAGGGCGCACGCAACAGGGCAGAGCACGTACCGCAAGCCATATTGGTTTTCAACGGCAGTTTACGCGCGTCAGTTTTTGCTATTAAGGTCATTACCTGAACCTGCTCGGTCGGGACTATGGCTACCGGAGTGGCATGTGTGCCACCATTAATAACTACACGTCGGCACATTGCATTTCTTTGATCGGGCCAGACTGTTTCTTCGAGCCGGCTACTTGTCGGGAATGACGCCACGAGTTATTTCGATAACCGTTCCGTGGAAGGCGTCCCGTTTTTTCCCCGGGACGCTGCTCTAGCTTCGTTACGGATACGTCCGACCCGGCCACGGCCGTTTCTGCTCTAACAATTGCTGGAAAAAACAGATTCCCTACGCGCGCACGGGAGAAATTACCGCGTTCCCGTTATTCGATCGGATACCGATCGAGCGCAGTTACGATGCTCGCCGCGGTCGCCCGTGCCTTTTCAGATCGTTTTTGCCACGGCGACCGTCGTTAAACTGCCCCCAGGCTAGACTCTGTCGTTCCTGTTGCATCAATAAGATACAAACGTGACGATTTTGTTCTACGAGTGACCCGACGCGATGCACAGCGTATTTTCGTCTATTATTTACGAAAAATCTCTTACGTTTGTAGATCTCGACCTGTTATACTGATAGAGCTTGTAGAGCTGAATAAGGAAGGTCTGAATAACTAAGACGCCCGAGGAATAATCGTTTTATGGAAACCAGCTTTCATTCATGGAAGACGCGCGCGAGATGTTGTCTATCCCAGCGTTGAAGTCTCCAGCGTAGAGATGAAATTTTAGTATCCCAGCGAAATTCGTAATAAACTCGCTGCATCCAGGAAACGCAGAACTTTGAGAAATACGGTGTGATTACCATTTTCCTTCTATTAGTTTATTCTTATAAATTCGAAGCTCACTTACGGATCTACTAGAAACCCGGGCCGCGTTTTTCAATCGTAACGCGTTCAGTGAAAGAAGTTTCGCAAGAACGGTCGTCGTAAACAGGGATCATTATCCAATGTAGTTATTCCGAAATACACTGGTTTCTACGACGGAATTGTTTTCCGAGCGTCGGTAAAGAGCGTCGAAGATTCTGCAATGTTGCTAATTGCCGGTGCAACACTATCCCGTGTCTGAAAACGACGGACGAAAGTTACGTAATGGCCACGTAACTCGAATCCTGAGCGGAAACGAGCAACCTAGCACGCCGCGTAGCGAGTGTTCAGTTTTCTTTTGAAAAATCGTCTCGACCATATTTCGCGCCGTTATGGCTTGCAACTTGTTCCTCGTGCTGATACGAGGAGGACGAGCGGAGACTGAATAACACCGAGTTCCCGGGGCTCGCATTGTTCGTGGCGTCATGTGCATGGATCTCCACGTGTTCCATGTTTACGAGCGAGTCACGTGAGCGACCGCGAGCAATTACGTAAGTATCGACTCGACGACTAATAAATAATGGGCCTTTCTTCCTACGGCAACCCTACGCGCGAGACGGCCGTGCGAAATTCACTAAATCAGCGATCAACGTTCGTTCCGACGTTCCTCCAAACCGGAACGCTCGCCGCCGGCTCGAACAGTGTCAAGGACGGGACCGTAAATTATGTCACCGAATTAGAAAAGCGATCGAAAGCGCGCGCCGCC